TTTTATAAGATATTATATTTTCAATTGGTGTCTACTTGACTGATGAAATTGTGCCATTCTGTACCACCCGAGTATTGCGATAAACATAACAATGATAGGCTGAAATAACCAAACTGCTTATATGATTTTCATTTTAATATTTGATTTATGTAACTACAAAGGTTATCTTAAGTAAAGGTTTATCACTCCCAGTGACCAATCTAACAAATTATAAAAATTCTTTAAACTGTGTATAGTAGAAGAATAAAAAGTTTTTTTAAAAGGTGTTATAAACCCGTACTTAAGATTACTTTTTTAGTTATATAAATCAAATAATCTAATAATCTTAATGTTTGTACTTATATTTTTTGCCCAGGTAACACTGAGCTTACCTGCTAGCTTATTCATATTTAACTTGATTGCACACTTACATAAAATGATATTCTAATAAATCATACTATATTTTTGCAGAATGACCAGGAAATCAGATATGGTAAAAACTGGCATGCTGGTTTAAGTGAGATTATACATCCCTCAAAAGAAGGGATGGCCAACACGTAGACCGTGGTCGACCGCAAATGTTTTGAAAGTAGCCTGCGAAGCTAAAGTTGAACAATTTGCTTTCACTTAAATTAATGTTTAAAAATGTTAATTCAATAATTTATTCTTACAATAATAGACTGTCTGTGCAACATACCCATACTGTTTGTATTTATCCTGATGAAAAATGCAAATGAATGTTAATGCATGTAGATATAAAATCCTAAAATTGTTTGCCCATATTCATAGTTGCCCGCAGACTATATTTTACCAAAAAAGTAGCCCCTAAGGGATAAAAGTTTGGCCACACCTGCTCTAGAGATGCATTAAAAAACAAACAACTTTTTATTTTATAACTATGAAACTGTCAGCATTACATCAAAAACTATATTATATGTTTAATTTCTTCATTTTGTCTTCTTTCAAATGATGTAAAATACTCCTGAATTCTGAAAGTTCTTTTTTGTTTTTATGGTAATTCCATTCAAAAATGCAAAAATAAACATATTAAATTTAACAAACTCACTGTAAATTATCTCAACTTACATGGACTAACATGGGCTTTGTGTGAAATTTGAGAGGGTGTTATTTTTAAGGTTGGGGTGGGATGGTCAGTGTAGCTACACTATTACTACTATTAATGTCAATAGGTTGCTAATTGTTTTATTGTCTTGTAAACAAAAACTTTCTTCCTGATGTTGTCAATCAAATTACAATGATATACCATGTATTATTGTACTGGAAAAAATGATTTTTTTAAAATGTTTGTTAACAACTAGTTTTGTTATATCTGATTAATTTTATATTTTAGTGGTAGTTTAACTGGCATGCTGGTCTCTCCTGTTTATAAGTGGCATGCTGGTCAATCTGCAGAAATACAGTAAATTCCAAATACATTGTGTCATCTATTGTTGCATGTTTATCCTCTCTCACTTTAAACGAGTATTGTAATAGACATTACTTCTGTCTTTGTGCAAATCTTACTAATGTATGCATACATGCACGCACTTCAACCTGCAGATTTTATTGTGTATTAATGGTGCTTTTAACATAGATAACATATATTTCAGACATTTTAAACATGCATATAGCAGTGTATATAAATCTGGCCCTTAGTTATAAGTGAAAAATGTTAATACAAAGTGATAATTTTTTCAAGACAATTTCTATTTATGTATTTTATTTTATGACAGTTTGTTTCATGACGATTCTCTGTAATGATGCTTTCTTTCTTCATATATGAACAAGATATTGTAAACTTTAATCTGATGAACAAATATTTGTCTTTTTTTCTGTAGGATTTAAAAGTGGAACCAACATTGATTTTTAAATCTCAAGAAAATGATCCTGAGAATTAATCAGAGAAAATCATATTTTATCTTATAAATCAATAAGATAAAATATGATTTTCTCTGATTAATTCTCAGGATCATTTTCTTGAGATTTAAAAATATTACTTATCTAATGTAAAGTTAAACCTGTATATTAATGCTAAAAATTTTCTTTGAATTCTTTTTATTTTCATTATAATTGTTCTTTATTTCAAGGTCTTTTAAAATTCTTGGTTAAATAGGCATAAAGTGAAAACATCAAACCTTTTTTTTCATTTTTTATCTATTTATTTTTTCAAGTGTTATATAATATTTAGTTTTATAGCTCTATTTTTATATTTGCTTCAAAAAAGCCCTAGCAGCCAATTTTTCTGTTTCAGCCAATTAGTTGCTACATAATCAAAAAATGATAATTATAATCAACTACTCAAAACCGGGTATACTTAATAAACACAAAATGACTGAAACCAATTTCCAGCACAAATTTATCAGAAAACTGCTTTCTGATTAATTTGTGCTGTAAATTTGTTTTTGGAAACTCAGTTTTGTGTTTAAAAATGATATTTGAATTTGTTCATAATATATAATATAATATATTTAGCACTTATCTTTTATAAAAATAAATTACCTATTTCCATTGCTGATTCTTCTTCAATATGTAAATCATCAGGAATATCAAAGCTTTCTGGAACATGAAAATAAAATTTATTTATAAATAATCCTTATTAATAATAGCAGCTATTCACAAATAATCAATTCTAATTCCAATAGAATTTGTTAAATTTATTAATTAACTAAATTATCATCAAATTATTAATTTGTATTGATAATTCAGTAAATCCTATAATTACATTTAACTTTTTAAACTACAAAAATATTTATTCTGCATAACAGAGAAAGTGTTTGTTTATATTTGACTGATAAATATTTGATCATTGTAACATTACAAAGTTAGAAAACTATAAAATTATCATTGAATTCAGAGAAAAATGTTCATGACTATGAAAAAGAAAAATAGCATTTTCATTATTGGTACAATTCTATATTTGTCACCTAGAGATTACAGTTCCTGTAATATCTCTATGTGACAAATATAGGTGATCAATCTAGGTGACAAATATTCTGATTGTTCCAAACCTTTAGAAATATTTAAGTTCTTATTTTAGCTTTATAAATAGTTGTTTTTTTTTCTTTCTTTCTTTCTTAAAAAAATAATTTTTCTCTTAATGTTGATAATTGTTTTGGAAGTAGTGTTACCACCCGTCCGGTTTTCAGCTGGACAGTCCAGGAATTGACTTGTTGTCTGGGTAAACTATTAATTTTGTCCTGGAATTTTGTAGAAATTGTGAAATTACGATGATACAAAGTTCTTGAAAGTATTTTTACAAATATACACTATTTTAACAGTAAAAGAACTCGCACTCACTGAAATTCAGCCACATTAGTCTGTTTATGCTGACATGTGGTGCACAACCTGTCGGCCTTTTTTTTATTTGCATGTACATGTCTCAAATGGAGGTAAGTTATCTGCTGTACCTGCTCTTTCTTAATTTAGGTTACTTACGTTACTCCTATGTAAGTTCCTAGTCCCTAACTGTAACTAATTTAGAATCGGCATGCACGTTATTATTCGCGTTGTAAAATGACATTGCGCATGTGTCAGGAACTTCTGTTCAAACAAACCTGACCTGCCATCTGGGTCGGCAATTTTGAAAAGGTGGCAACGCTATTTGGAAGCATTCAATACTGTGCAATAAACTGCTAATTTTGATATTTTAGTTTTTTCCCACAATTTTTTTTAAACAATTTCTGAAGCATAATACCAGAAACAAATTAAAATTAATGATGTAATGATAATATAACACTACATTAATCAAATAATAGATTAAACTATTACACCTGTTCTATTAATCATTGCTAATTTCATTTAACAATAATAACTAAATGTTTTATTAGCACAAAACACTTACATAACTTTCTGTCATCTATTCAGATTTAAAAAATTGCTTCTATTATTATCTGATATTACAAATAATCTAAAATAGCTATAAATATATTGGTTTAAATTATATTCTGCTATATCAAACTGTCTTACAATGACTCATGGAACTAAATTTCACCAGCAATTGTTAGTAAAACAAAGAAATAGTGAAACCAGAGAGTTACTTACAGTTAAACCAAAAGAGAGATTCAAATATTAATGAAATTTATTTGATTTTTAATTATCATTTTTATGCAAAATGTTTCATTGAAATAAAAAGTTTGAATATTTGTTTCAGGTTTTTATTGTTAATGTGAGGTTAATCAATTGTTAGAGACATTTTCTACTGCAACTGAAATAAATAAATAAATAAATTTATACCTGTTTTGTTTGTTCATTAACTTCATTGGCATGTTCACCATCATATTCATCATCATGGTGATCTGTTACTTCAGAATGAGGTTGATTTTCTTTGCTTCCATCATCATTCCTTTCTTCTATATTATCATCTTTTGCAACAATATTTTCTTCTGGAAGAGCTTTTCCTTTTCCACTGTTATCATCCTTTAATTCATCATCTTCATTTTCATTGTCACTTCCCCAAATCTGTTGAAATATTCAATAAAAGTACACAATTATTATTGTAATAAAAAATTTTACACATTTAATATGGTATTTTATACTTAATTTTAATAAATAAAATTATTGCAGTTGAAATAATACAAATGAATTTTATAAATGAAATAGTAATCAATATTTGAAAAACATATAGAGTAATATTTTATAGTCAATAATTATACATTAATCACTGCATCAACCTACATTGAATTTCAAGCTATTTGAAATGTAAATTATAAATCTGATAAAAAATTTTATTCCCTAGACATTTATTATTCTATAACTTATGTAAAATGGAGTGATGTATTATTTTGCTATATAATTTTAATATAAGATCAAGAAATAATTGTTAATAATAAGTGAAGAATAAGTGTAAAATTGAATGGACATAAAATATTCAAAACATTGTTTTAACCAAATGATTGTATACTTATAATAAAATATATGACAAATAATGTTAAAACAATGACCCACAAAACTGATAATATGACACTAAAATTAAATTTAATAAACTACTTTTGCCTTTTCAAATATTGAGGGCTTCTTTAATAAATGAAATACTACATTGAAAATTATTTTGAAGACATCTGTATTCTAAGTAAATTTAACTCTTTATATAAAAATGAAACTAAAAGTATTTTATTGGGCTGCAATTTTCAAAAATTATAGACCTATAAATTCCCACTGACATCCATCTGTCTGTCTGTCCTTTCTTAATCTCAAAAACAAAGTTAAAGAAATGAAAGTTGTGACCAAATATGGAAAGATTAGGGGCATAAGGCTTGAGACATACAATTATATACAAACTTCTAGTTTCGACTGGAAGTCACATTATTTCAATTCAAAAATTTTCTCCTGAATGAAGTTAGATAGATGACTGGCATGACTTCATTGCTAACAAGAGAAGTATGATGTTCAGGGGCAAGACACTACTAAAATTCGGAGCATTTTATGAAAATTGCAGCAAGGCATTGTGACAACGTCATAATAAATAAAATTATTTTATTTCTTATTAATTTTTATGAAGATAATAAATTTAAAATTGTTTTGTTTTAAAGCTAGTGGAATTTCTTGAATTGAAAATTTGTCTTTTGCAGGAAATTCAGTTTAATTGAGAACAAGAATCTTTAGTGAATATTTGTTCTATAAGAATCATTTTTTTGATGACATCAGCATAAAAATTAAGAATAAAAAGCATGCATGCATATAATAACAATTTCATTGTACTTAATCTTTCACATAGCAAAGGAATAAATAAGTTTCATGCAAAAATAAGATAAGATAAATAAATTTGTTTTATTTAATTTGTATTTTATTTTCTATGTGATTAAATGTCATTTCTGTGTAAAACTTTTTTCATTTATAAATAATTTCACAATTTTTGCAGCCATGAAGTATTTAGTTAGTTCAGATGATGAACTATGAGCAAGTTTCACAATTGCTGATAATTCTTTTACTCTTAAATTGTTCCTATGATAAACTCTTAACAATTTAAAATTTGTATATAATTATTTGGTCGAAAACACTATCATATAATTTTTATAACACAGCAATAAAAAGTTTGGATGATAATTTTTTTAAAGTTATTCAAAATGTCAGAATCTATCTTTGAATTGCATTAGGAAATAGAAAAGAACAGATGTATAAAATACAATTCCAGTTTGTTATTTTAAATTTATAAATAAAATAAATAAAATGTCAATTTTATTAATATGTTATAAATATTTGATATAATTTTATTATTCAAAATATGGCATTATTTTCCAAACAAACTAATATCAAATGCTGGCAATTTGTTATTAAAAAAACTGTAATAATAATTTTAAAATTTTAAATAAATTCTGATACTGTATTTTATTATACAGATCCATAATAAAACAGAATTAAACCAAACTTTCTCTTATTAGAAATAAATAAACAGATTATATATATACTCCATACATATCAAAATTTCATTCATTTAACCCCTCACTTTAACTAGATATGGTAGTAATATATTATGTATCCAAACTTCAGCAAATATCTGTTAGTTTGTGTATAGAGTAAACAATTTAGTGGTCTAAGCCAGTGTTCCGCAACCTTTTTCTACTTGCGGCACACCCATGACTCAACACGGCACAGCAAAATGCTATTCCTCTCAAAAACGTATTATATGATACTATTAATAGAATTACGTAATGCCACTAACCTAGTATTATTAAACAGACATCAACACCTGTGAGCAAATTTATTTTACATATAATTTCTTACAATCCATGCATTTTTATGTATTCTAAGAAAGAATAAACAATCATCATCTTATTTCATCAGTGCTGCAGTAGAGAATAAAATACAAGCATAAGAAACTCAACAGCTGTGATAAAAATATATAAATAAAACTTGAAATTAACAGAATATGTAAAAGTTCATGTCACATTTTTCACCATGTTGCAGAACACTGGTCTAAGCTACCATCGTTAGATTATCATCAGAAGGGCACTGTTAGAAATTCAGCATCAAAGGTGCTATGGCCACAACTGATCAATCACTAAGCAACATCTAATATGTTAGCATTTCCAATGCACATGATGATCCAAATTTTGAAAGAAAGAACACTTGAAAAATTGTTCAAAGTTCAAAAAGCAAACATAACCTGATGATGGTGGCTTAGATTAGTGTTCCGCAACCTTTTTCTACTCGCGGCACACCTATGACTCGAAATGACTCAACACGGCACACTAAAATGTTATTCCCCTCAAAAACGTATGATATGATACTATTAGTGGAATTTCGTAATGCCATTAACCTATTATTATTATTATTGTGTTGAGTTTTGTGAGTTATACTCGGTTCACACTGATGGCTGTGTACTATGCCGAACCAGAGTTAAGACATAGTAATCAAAACAAGACAAAAATTAAGTGTGTTAGTGTGTGTCTGTATTCAGGAATTTCCTAACAATATGACATGCATTCAATATAGTGGCCTTCTGTAGTATGATGTGTGTTTCTATTCAATTTTAATGTTCCCAGGCTTTTGTGTGGCGTGTGTGTTATGACACCTTTAGAGGATAGAACGACAAGTACAATAAGCACCCTATCCATCCTCCATAGATGCTTTATTTCCTGGGCGAGTTCTGTGTACTTGCTGATTTTTTCACTGCATGTGTTTTGTACATTGTGAGTGTTTGGAATGGCTATGTCTATAATGTATGTGATTTTATTGTGTTTGTCAATGAGTGTGATGTCTTGTCTGTTGTGATTGATTGTTTTATCTGTGATTATGGCTGTTGTAGTACATTTTGTGCATGTTGTTTTCCAATACTGTCTGTTGAATGTATTTGTAGTATGGTTTGTGGATGTCTAATAATTTGTGTCTTTAATAATCTTTGCAAGCTCTTGATGTATTTGCTACTTGATTATGTCTATGTAAATTATCTGTCTGTGCCAAGAGCTTGCACCCAGA